AGAGAAGCTCCATCAAATTGGCAGTTCTTCTTGCCCACACTTTCCCCTTGAGTGTCACCTCCGGCCATTTGGCCCATTTTTGAGCCCAGACCAGGAAAATGGCAAAAGGAGGTTTTAACATTAGGGGGGGGGGGCAGGGTGCAGCAGCATCCTGCATTGGGCATCGCGCCGTGGTTCATGTCGGGCTGGTGGTCCCCATCAGGGAGGTTGCCTCAGTTTCCCCTGGGGCTTTGCACACGGGCAGGGGGAAGGGAGGAGGAGGAGGAGGAAGAGGAAGGCTCGCACAGCCTGTGAGACCACCCAGGCCGCCCTCAGCCACCCCCCACCCCATGTGCCACCATCCCAGCAAGTGAACCCCATCCCACAGCCACGTTCCCCACGCTTTTCCCCTTCTCCCCCAATCCAGCTCCTGGCTCCATGAAGGTGCGGTGCCAGCTCCAACCAAGGGCCATGCACTGGGTTGAAGGCAGATGCCCGCAGGCCCGGGCAGCCATGTGGCAGCAAGTCCCTTTGGGGAGCTCCCAGAAGGGGTGCAGGATGCCAGTGGTCTGCCACGGGGCTGTGGGAGCCTCTCCTGCTGGAGGAGGGCACAGTGCTGCCCCTACCTCACTTTCCCCTCTTCCCAACCATAGGTACTTTACCAGCTGCAGATTTGGGGCGGGGTGGGGAATTAGCTGGGGCCTCCCCCCTCTTTCTGAAGTCCACCATGTCCCGCAGGCTCAGGTCTCCCTCCCGCCATGGCATCGCCAGACGGAGCCAGCGGCGTGGGTGGCAGCCCCGAGGAGACAGAGCTCAGCATCACCCTCACCCTCCGCATGCTCATGCACGGCAAGGTAACGGCAGGGGGGCTCAGCACTGCACGGGGGGGTCACCGATGCCTGGGGCGGGGGGCCATGCTGGAGTAGTAGCTCCTTGCCACATGCTGCTTTCCTCCCTGCTCCCAGTTCCCCCCAGGAACAGCATTCCCAGAAGGATTTCTTCCCCCGTCCTAAGCCACAGAGGGGCCTGTCCCCATGCCCCAGTGTCACCAGCAAGCCACCCAGTGTCCCAGTGGCTGCGGGGCAGGGCCTGCCCATTGCCCACCTACCGGGCTGTGGGCACAGGAGGGATGTGGCAGGCAGGGAGCTACCTGCTGACGGGGCCACCCTCCTCTCTGCTTTTGCAGGAGATCGGCAGCATCATCGGCAAGGTAAGATTTGGGGTCCAGGGCATCGCCAGCCCTGGGCTCCCCTGGACCTGACCACCCGCCCTGTTCCTCTCCCTGCAGAAAGGAGAGACTGTTAAGAGGATACGAGAGCAGGTAAGAGTGTGCTGGGGGGCTGCCAGGTCCTGCTGCCTGTCCTGCCTGCGCCTGGTGTCTCCCCCGTGTCCAGCCCTGGCCCACTCCATCCCCAAGCGGACCCGGGGGAGACATGGCTGCACCCTGGGGAAGCTGCCTGGGGCAGGTGGGAGGGGGAAAGTCCAGGTCTGCGGGCATCGAGGCCACCCCGGGAGAGCCCTTCCCCGGTGGGGGGGAGGACATTGAGCTCAAGGCCCCTGATGTCCCTGACGGGGTGTGACACCGTCCCCAGAGCAGCGCGCGCATCACCATCTCGGAGGGGTCCTGCCCTGAGCGCATCACCACCATCACTGGCTCCACCGACGCTGTCTTCCGCGCTGTCTCCATGATCGCCTTCAAGCTGGAGGAGGTAGGCAGCCCCCACACACCCCCCGCCGGGTTCCCCCATGCCTGCAGGCTCCTGGGGGTTCAACCATGCATCCCCCCCTCCCTCGCAGGACCTGGGATCCGGGAGTGATGGGGCAGCCCCGGGCAGGGCACCGGTGACGCTGCGCCTCGTCATCCCGGCCAGCCAGTGTGGCTCGCTCATCGGCAAGGCAGGAACGAAGATCCGGGAGATCCGGGAGGTGAGGCTGAGGGTCCCCTGGGTGCAGGCTCCCCATTTTCCCCAGGGGGTACGAGGCCTTTGGCACAGGGGCTGCCACGGTCCTGCAGGGGCTGTGTGAGGTGATGCAGGAGTGGAGCATCACCCTGTGGATCCTGAAAAGGTCTCCAGGGGTCAAGGAGGGAACAGGGGAGGTGTGAGGTGCTGAGCCCCGGGGTGGGGTATGGCTGAGGCACCCCAGCATCTCTCTTTCCCCCCAGACCACGGGGGCGCAGGTGCAGGTGGCCGGTGACCTGCTGCCCAACTCCACGGAACGGGCTGTCACCGTCTCAGGGGTCCCAGACACCATCATCCAGTGCGTGAGGCAGATCTGCGCCGTCATCTTAGAGGTACCTACCAAGCCCCATGCCCACTCCAGGGGGGCACATGCTGCCTGTCCTCCCTGCCAGGGACTTCCTGTGCCCACCTGGATCCGGGCACCAGGGTTCTGCTGCATGGAAGCCCATAAGCACCCTGCCTCAGTGGTGCTGGGGGCTGTGCCCAGCTTGTTGTGGGGGGAGGAGGCAAAGGGGGTCCAGGGGGCTGTGGGGCCATTCAACCTAGTCTCTCATCCCCTCCACCTCCTTCCCTCCCTCTCCAGTCGCCTCCGAAGGGGGCCACCATCCCCTACCACCCTGGCCTCTCCCTGGGCACCATCCTGCTCTCTGCCAACCAGGTAAGGGGCTGCAGCCCCCCCGGGGGCATGGGGTGGTCAGGGAGCCCAGTGTCTGCTGGCGAGGGGCAGCTCCGGTGGGCTTGGGGTGGCCTCCCTGCCCTGGGGGGGTGACCTGAGGCAGGGGTCCCTGCCTGGCCCCCCACTGATGCCCCTTCCTTCCCCCCCCAGGGCTTCTCCATGCAGGGCCAGTACAGTGGGGTCTCTCCAGCGGAGGTGAGTCTGTCCTTGTGGAAGCCCATCCCTGTTCTTGTGGGTACTGGGTCTGTGCCCGCCAGGACGGGCACTGCTGGGGATGCCTGTCCTGGTAGGCACTGGGTGCCAGCGTCTAGCCCCGGGAGGGGACAGGGCACCCTCTGCTGTCACCCCTAACGCCTCCTTCCTCCTCCTCCCCGGCAGATGACAAAGCTGCAGCAGCTGTCAGGGCACTCGCTTCCCTTCGCCTCCCTGGGCCACGCACCCTCCATGGTGCCAGGTGAGCATCTCCCACCCACCCCCAGGGCTGGGGCTGTGGGGTGCCCCTCCTGACCCACCCAGCCACCTGGCCCTGATGAGGGCATCCCCATCCCCTGCCACCCTCTCTGGTCCCAGCCTCCCTGGAACGGCTACCCGCCCTCCAGAACGACCCTGTCCTTGATTTCCTGCTGTCCCTGCACCCACCAGTGCCCCCCAAACCTGCAATGGGTGAGCACTGGCACCAAATTATGACTGGTGCCTATCTCCCATCCTCCCTGCTTCTCCCCAGGGGTACTTCAGGTTTGTCCCCAGGGCCACTGACTGTCCCAGCATGGGCCTGGGGTGGGGGCACAGAGCTGCTGGAGACCCACCACCCCACCACTAACATCCCTGTCTCTCCCTCTAGGCCTGGACACCAGCTCCCAGAGCAGCTCCCAGGAGTTCCTGGTGCCCAACGACGTATGTGTGGGTCCTGGGGATGGCAATGGGGACCACAGCTTGCCCTCACCCATGTGTCCCACCCCACAGCCATTTTGCAGGGGCCAGCACCCACTGTCTCACAGAGGGGAGGCTTTGCCTCAGCTGCCAGAGCTCAGGAGCAGGAGGGGCTGCTGGGGCAGAAGAAGCTGCAAGAAAAGGGAAACTGAGGCACGGGAGGGGGAAATGGCTTGGTCAATGCCAAGGAAGAGCCTTGGGATGTGGCAGCCCAGCGATGCTGGCCGGGAAGGGGGCTTGAGTGAGACCAAAAAGCAGGGTCTGCCTGAAGAAAGCAGCACCTTGGTGCCTGCCTCAGTTTCCCCAATCCTCCCAGGGGTAGGGGGTGGTCGGGTGACCTCCCTGCTAGGTGTGACCCCTCCAGCTGCTCCCGGCTCACCTCAGTCCCTGCCCCTCCAGCTCATCGGCTGCATCATCGGCCGGCACGGCAGCAAGATCAGCGAGATCCGGCAGATGTCGGGCGCCCACATCAAGATCGGGAACCAGACTGAGGGCTCCAACGAGCGGCACGTGACCATCACGGGGTCCCCCGTCAGCATCACCCTGGCTCAGTACCTCATCACAGCCTGGTAGGTGCCAGCCTCGGGGCAACACATGCTGGCTGCTAGCAAGGGGTGGCACCTCCCCAGCTACCCCACCAACACAGGTTTTGGGGGATACCCCCACTCCAGCATCCTCAGGAAGGGTGAGCTGGGTGGTGCTATGAGATCCTGAGATGGTGGGTGCAGGACTCGAGACCCCACAGGGCTTGAGCCCCAGCTTTTTAGCCCTCCCCAGCAGGATGCCCATGGAGACCTGTGTGGGAAGGGATGGGGCACGAAGTCCCTGCACCCTAAGATGGGCAGGTTGGGGCTGGTGACCTGCTCTGTCACCATGGTGCTCACCACCCCATCCTTCTTCCTTGCTTCCCCAGCTTAGAGACGGCCAAATCTACCTCCCAAGCGCCACCGGGCCCTGGCTCCATGGACCTCGGCGTGGGCTTCTCGCAGCCCCTCACCCCAGGCTCTGGCGCAGCACTGCCCACTGTCGCCCCAGCCCCTCCAGCCCTGCTGGGCACCCCCTACACCATCTCCCTCTCCAACTTCATCGGCCTGAAGCCGGTGTCCTTCCTGGCGCTCTCCCCGTCCTCCATGGGGGGTCCCAATGGCGGCACTGCCACCTACACGACCAAGATCTCGGCGGCCAACGGCACCAAGAAAGCCGATCGGCAGAAGTTCTCACCCTATTGACCCCTCCCAGTGGGTGGGCAAGGGGGTCCGGGGTGCCACCCCCGCGCCACGGACACCTCTCTGCTGCCCACCCTGTCCCCCAGCCCCTGCCAGGTGCCCCATACCTGGGGTGGATCCCCTTGTCCCCCACCCCAGGGAAGGGAAGGGTCTTCCCGTTGGCCATGCCCACTGGAGGAAAGGGCTGCTGCGCTGCCTGCTGCCCGTCCCAGCAGCACTGTGCCCCCCTCCCGCATTTTTCTGCACAGGGACCGTGTGCCCTGGTGTGGGGAGGGTAGGTGGCTGTCCCTGCCAGCCTGGGGTCCCTTTTCCCAATGCCCTGTGACGGAGTGGGACCTCCACCTCCTGCCCCTCGCCCTGCCGTCCCCCTCCTGCCCACCCTCTCTGGCTGGCACCCAAAACGCAGGTCCCGACAGACGAGGGGCTGCCTGGCCTCTCCGTGGGTCCCCTGTCCCCTGGCTCTGGTGGGGGGTCCTCCCCGGGCCACCCCAGAGCAATCACCTCCCAGCAACCCCATCCGAGAGCCGGTCCCCGCTGGCTTGGAAATGCTGTATATATAAGTCTATATTTTTTCCTCCTTTGTAACTTATCAATGGTTTAATAAAAAGATAAAAATTATAAGAAAAATATAATAATACCCCCCCACACCAGGTGGAGACATCCCACACACACCAGGGGCAGCCGCAGCTTCTGGGGACAGCGGGTGGTGGCCCGAGGGGTGTCCCTGTGGCCAGGGGGGTGCTGGCCCTCAGCCCCAGTCTCTCTGGGGACTTTCCTGGAGCCCCCTCCCTGCCGTGGGGCAGTTTGAGAGGCCAAGGGTCAGTTCTCCCCCAGCCCCCCAGTTATTACTGGGGCAGGGGGCTCTCCAACCCACTGTGCCAGCACCTTTGGGGGTGGCCTGGGACCTTTGTGGGTGTGCTGGGAGTGATGTACCCCTCCAGCGTCCCCCCCAGCAGGGACCAGTCCCCTTGCTTGCACTGGAGGTCCCATGGGAGGGTACCCAAGCCCTGCAGAAGCAATAGGACCAAAGGGGGACAGCAGCTCCTGGTCCCCTTCGGTTGCGGATGGCCAGGGGCACCCTACGCAGCCCCCCTCCATGCCACCCTGTGCCACCGCGTCCACCCCAGCACACCCCTGGCTGGCAGCCCAGTTTGGCTGGCACGTGGCACCACTGGCTGGGCTTCAGCTGGGCAGCTGTGTCCATAAACAGCCTGGCATGGACCCCCAGCATGCAACCCCCCCTGGAGAGGCAGCCCCTGCCAGCTTTGGGGGGGGCAGAGGGCATGGCCATGGACAGCATGTGCTGCCACACCAGTAGGAAGAACAGACACAGCCAGAGCCAGCCCCGAGGGTGCCAACCCCCTTATTAAGGACCACGGGTGACAGGAACTCCTCCGCCCAGACGTTAGTTTTGGGTTAAACAGCCAAGGATGGAGGGCTCCACGCCGCCGTCCAGGCTCAGCGGGGTGCCCAGGGCCCTGGTGTTATGGGTGTTAGTGGTGTTAGCTGGGCCACTGCTCATGGGTGGGGTGCAAGGGACCTCTGCTCTTCCCTGCTGGCCACAAGTGGTCCCAGCGGGGTGACGGAGGTGGAGGTACTCCCTCCTCTGGTCCTGCATAGCAGCCCTTTGGCTCCCCATGTCCCAGGGAGGGCCCATCCATCCAACTGGGCTGTGCTGGTGGAGCCAGAGACAGTCCCAGCCTGCAGAAGGGAGATGAGGCTTCCCCAGATCTACTGTCTTCTCCAGGCGGAGAATCTGTCTTCCACCACAGGCTCAGAGAAGAGGCAAAACCTGAACAAGGACCCCTCCAAATCCAAGAGGCTGAGTCCAAGCAGGTCCAATGGGTCCCTGGCAGGTCCCCTGCCCACCCTTCTGCCCAGCGTGGTGGGACAGGACCCCGTGCTCTTCAGCTGCTCTCTTCAGGAACTTGACCTGGGATGGGGAAGGCCATCTTGGTCTGGTCCAGCCTGTTCCTGGGGCTGGGGCTGATGCAGCTGGCATGGGTCTCCAGTGTGGAAGTCGCTCTCTGGAGGAACTGCAAGAAGTTTTCCTGGACAGAGGCCTCCGAGACGGAAAGACAGAGCTCCTGGCCCAGCGGCCGGTTGAGACAGCTGCGCCGGAGCCGGGCCAGCTCCTCCCGGATCTGACGGTTCAGCAGCCCATAGAAGAAGGGATTGATGGCAAAGGAGGAGTAGGCAATCCACGTGACCACCATCTCCCCGTGCCCACCACCCACCGTGCCAGCAGTGACAGAGGAGTGCAAGTGGAAAGCGAAGAAGGGCAGCCAGCAGCACAAGAACTGTCCTACAATGAGGACCAAGGTGAGGATGGCCTTGTTGCTTCCCAAAAAAAAGCGCTCTGGCATCAGCCTGGGCAGTGGCAGGTTCCTGGTGGTGATGATAGTCACTTGGCTGGCGATGGAGTTGGATCGCTGTCTCGGAGCAGCTGCTGGCTGTGCTGGCACAGAGGCGTGTTGCTGGGATGCCATCCGGGCCACGCGGTAGACACTGCAGTAGACAGCGAAGATGATGATGGTGGGCAGGACAAAGCAAACGATGCTGAAGATGATCACAAAAGCCTTCTTGTGGGCCCCAGGGCTCCAGTAGACTGTGCAGCGGCTAGCGCTGGTGGCCCCGTTGCCTTGAGGCCAGCCCACCAGTGCCAAGACAGTGATGAGAACAGACTTGACCCAAATGAAGATCACTCCCGCCACTGCCAGCCTGATGGTCATCTTGACCTCATACCTCATGGGGTGGACAATGTAGTAGTACCGCTCCACACTGATGACGGCGATGGTGAGGATGGAGGCACTGATGAAGCAGACATTCAGGAATATCAAGGCCTGGCACTCAGCAATGCTGTAGATCACCCTGTTGAAGCAGGAGGAGCTGGAGATGATCCCCAGGGGCATGAGGAAAATGGCAGAGAGGAGGTCGACCGCACAGAGGTGGCAGACAAAGATGAACTTCCTGAGAAGGGGAGTTTTGAGAATGACAAGTATCACCACAGTGTTGGCCACCAGGGCAGTGAGGGTGAGGAGGACCATACAGAAGAGGCCCATCACCTCCTGGGCAATGGACTGCTCGGGGACAGAGAGTGGCTCTAGGCTGTCCGTGTTGTTCGGCCCCATTTGGCTTGCCATCCCCAGGGAGGGCTAAGCCAGTAGCTCTGGTGCCCAGGCAGCAAGGGCTCTTCTCCTGCATCCCTTAGGGGGAAACCCCACCAGAGCCATGGCTGCTGTCTTCTTCTTGCCTGTTGGGGAGGGGAGCAGGGCGTGAAGGAGAAGGACCAACATGAGGAAGAGCCACAAAGAAACCTGGAGATGACCAGAACGCCCCCCCCCCCGAGATGCTGGAGCAGGGAGAG